TACCATATGTAAAGAACTTCTGCAACTTAACAACAGCAAAGACAAAACAGCCCAGTTAAAAAGTGGGCAAAAGGAGGGGTGCCTGGGTGGCTCAGCTGGTTGAGCATCTGACTCTTGATTTTGGCTTAGGTCACAATTTCATGGTTTGTGAGATCGGGCCCCATATTGGGCCCCTCAATAATAGCATGGAGCCTGCTTGGAATTCATTCTCTCTCTCTCTCTCTCAAAATAAATAAACTTTATAAATAAGTAAAGAAATGAAGAAAGAAATAAATAAAAATGGGCAAAAGGATCTGAATAGACATTTTTCCGAAGAAAAAATATAGTTGGCCAACAAGCACATGAAAAAATCCTCAATATCACTCATCACAAGGGAAATGCAAACCAAAACCCCAATGACATACCACCTCATACCCATTAGGATGGTTACTATAAAACACACAGGAAAATAACAAGAGTTAGTAAGGGCATGAAAAAATTGGAACCCTTGTGCACTGCTAGTGGAAATGTAAAATGGTGTAGCTACTATGGAACACAGTATGGCGGGTCCTCAAACAATTAAAAATAGAATTAGCATATGATATAGCAGTTCCACTTCTGGGTGTCTACCCAAAAGTGGTGAAAGTAGGGAGTTGAACAGGTATTTGTACACGTTTATAGCCACATTATTCACAATAGCCAAAAGGTTGAAGCAGCCTGTGTCCATCAAGAGATGAATGAACAAAATGTGGTATTTATATACAATGGAGTATTTTTCAGCCTTAAAATGAAAGGAAATTCTGACATCTGCTACAACATGGATGAACCTTGAGGACATTATAGTCAGGGTTATCCAGAGAGATTCAATAGGATGCATATAGCAAAAGATTTATTTTAAGGAATTGGCTCACAAAGTGGAGGCTTTGCAGGCCCAAAATCTGGTGAGGTAAGCCAGCAGGCAGACTGGAGACTCAGGGAAGAGTTGCAGTTCAAGTACAAAGGGTGTCTGCTGGCAGAATCTCTTGCTCTGGGAATCCGTTGTTCTGTTAAGGCCTTCACCTGATTACATGCATTATGGAGAATAATCTGCTCTACTCAAAGTCCACTGATTTAAATGCTAATCTCATCTAAAAACCACCTTCACAGAAACATCCAGAATAATGTTTAATCAAATATTTGGGAACCATGGTCCATCCAAGTTGACACATAAAATTAACCATCATATCATGATAAGTGAAGTAAGCCAGTCACAAAGTATGATTCCACTTAAAGGAGGTACCTAGAGTAGTCAAATTCATAGAGACAGAAAGTAGAATGGAAATTACCAGGGACTGAGTCGAGTGGGAAATTGGGAATTGTTGTTTACTGGGTATAGAGTTTCAGTTTTATGAGAGGAAGAGAGTTCTGGACATTGGTTGCCAACAAAGTCAACATACTTGACACTAAACCACACACTTAAAAATGGTTAATATGGTTAATCTTATGTTATATATATTTTACCACACATTTTTTAAAGAGAAGAAAACAGCAGGGAATGACCTTTAAGAAATGGCCACATTTGGGGGAAAGGAAGGTGAGAGATTGATTAACTAGAGGAGTAGAATGCAAATTAGGGCCACCACGGAGCCAAAAGAGAAAATTATCAAAAATATTGGATACAGCAAGGTCAAGAAGGACAATAATTAGAAGGAAATTCCCTGGCAACTTAATAAGGGAGAGTCAGTACAGTAGTTTGAACAAAATCACTTTGCAAGGGTTAAGAAAAGTCTAAATGATGAGAAGGCTGGAGGAGCAGAAGTGCTCCACCCATTCAAAGAGTCTGGAGGGGAGGAGACAAGGGGGAGATGCGTGCTGGAAGGCAGAAGAAGGGGAAACCATGCAAAGGAAGACAGGGGGTGCTGATGTAAGGACCAAGTGAAAGGGCAACTCTTCCCTCTGCCATTGACCAGCTTCCTCTGCCAGGTAGCCTGATTTGGGCAAGATCTCCCCCAAATACAAGACTAAGGGCCCTACAGAATCCTGATACAGACAAGGCAGCTGTCTTAGTACAGAATGGGCAGCCAGGGAGTGGTGGCAAGAATTAGAGATCATGACAGGGTTGGGGGTATCCTGAGAAGTCCAAGTTTGAAGGAAATTGCAGTGAAAGTCAGAAAGCCAAAAACAGAACAAAAAGGTAGGCCAAAGGCCAGTGGGGCAAATGCCAATACACAAAGCAGGGAAAGTCTCAGTGCTTGGGTTCAGAAGCTAAGTCAGAGTAGTGTTTCTCCTTTAAAGTTTAGTTCTTCTGCCAACTCTCACCAACCACACCTATGTCATCCCAAATTGTTGATGCTGCTCTACTCATTCAGAGGAGACTGCCTAGTGTTAATTAGGGTTCTCCAGGGAAACAACCAATAGGGTGTGTGTGTGTGTGTGTGTGTGTGTGTGTGTAGAAAGAGAAAGATTGATTTAAGGAATTGCCAATTATGGAGGCCAGCAAGTCCAATATATATAGGGTGGCCCATTAGGCTGGAGACACAGGGAAGAGCTCATGTTCCAGTTCAAGTCCAAAGGTCATCTGCTGGTAGAATTCCTTCTAGCTCTCAGGAGGTCAGTTTTGTTTTAAGTTTATTTATTTATTTTAAGAGAGAGAGAGAGAGAGAGAGAGAGAGAGAGAGAATCCTAAACAGTCTCCATGCCATCAGCATGGAGCCCCTCATAGGGCTCAGTCTCACAAACCATGAGATCATGACCTGAGCCAAAATCAAGAGTCAGATACTTAACCAACTGAGCCACCCAGGCGTCCCAGGAATTTATTCTGTTCAGGTCTTCAACTGATGGGATGAGGCCCACCCACATTATAGAGGGCAGTCTGATTAACTTATTTACAATTGCAATGTTAATCTCATCCAAAGGCATCCTCATAGAAACATCCAGAATAATGTTTAACCAAATATCTGGGAGCTATGGCTCAACCATGTTGACACATAAAATTAACCATCATACCCAGGTAATAATTATAGCCATTAGTAAACACTTATTTATATACAAAGTACACAGCCATCTCCTTTCAGTCCATAACACCCATAAGGTAAGTTTGATATTCTCATTTTTAAATAGGAGGAAAACAGTTTTAGAAAGATTTTATCGAAAAGTTCATAAAATTCAGAAGCAATCAAAACCATTCTCATCATGGTTAACTTCAAAGAAATTAATCAATTTGACCAGAGTGGGAACTAGTTCTTTGGTCTTTCCACATCTTTCAAACTTCAAAGAACCAAGTTCCAATACCTAACTGGCATGACCTTTGTCAAAAAAAAACAAACAAAAAAAATCATTGCCCTCTTACTTTGTGCCTGGCAAACTGCTAAGCACTTCATATTCATTACCCTCTTTAATCCCTACAGCAATGTTGAAAGTTTAAGTAAATCCATCAAGATTGGGTTTTGCCTGTGACAGAAAACTCAAATAGCATGGGGTAAGACAGATAAAATTTTACCTCTAACCCTCCAACCCCCCAGATAAAGTCTGAAGGTATCCAAACTGGTAAACAGCTCTACCGTCATAACTGGCCTAGGTTTTTTCTATCCTTGTGTTCTGCCATCTTCAGTGATCACTTCCTCCTGATGATCTGTGATAGCTATTTAGCTCCAACCATCATGCCTACGTTCCAGTCACCAGGGAGACATGACAAAGATGGATGGGCCCCTGCCCTTGAAGATCATGTCTTGGAAGTCATATATGCTACTTTCTCTTCCACCCACCTGGGTGGGTCAGACCTAGCAGCAAGGCAGGATAGGAAACATATTCATTTTTCTAGGCAACCAAACACACAGTTAAAAAAAAAAGAAGGGGAGAAACAATACTGGAGGATCCACAGGCAGTATTATCAAGGCCATTTCTAGATGAGACGTCAGACGCACAGCAGTGAAGTGCAGAGCTCTGAGGTAGGATAAAAGAACTAGTCACTAATAGTGGTTATGTGGGAGAGGGAGCAAGGATTCAAGTCTGGGTTTTAGAGTGATTTTTAAGTGTTGTTTTCTAAGTTAACTTATTTTGAGAGAGAGAAAGAGCATGAGCAGGAGAGAGGTAGAGAGAAGGATAGAGAGAATCCCAAGCAGGATCTGCACTGTCAGCACATAGCCCGATGCAGGGCTCGAACCCATGAAACTGTGAGATCATGACCTGAGCCCAAATCAAGAGCCAGATGTTTAAGTGACTGAGCCACTCAGGCACCCCAAGTGTGTGTGTGTTTTTTTTAATTTAAGTAATCTCTTCACCCTACATGGGGCTTGAATTCACAACTCCAAGGTCAAGAGTCACATGCTCTTTCAACTGAGCCAGCCAGGCACCCCTAGAGTGATTTTTAAAAACAAATTAGAATGGACTCAAACTTATCCCCACAAGAATGTCACTTACTCTGTTGCAATCTGATGTGCTTTTTTAAGTGAGAGAGATGGGGCTGGTGTTACTGCCACTCCACTGTTTACACCCACAGCCTACCTTTTTCTGTTCCAACCTGAAATCTGAATGTGCCCATATAAGTGTGTCAAGCCTGGGAATTTCATCCAAGGTGTGAGGCAGTGGGGGGCAAAGGATCAGAAACCAGGGGGTGTGCTGTTCCACCATCCTACTCCTCTTCACTCTCGTCATTTGGAATTTTACCTGAAGGTTGAAGGAGATACAAAGCTGTCCCTGTCACTCAGGTTTATCCCCAATCCCCCAAAACTAGGATGAAAGTCACCTTGTCTTAGGATGAGAAAATAAGTTTTATTGACAAATGTATATGCTGATAGCCAACAATCCCCTAGGGAGAGACACATACTGTGCCTTCTAGGATCAAAACGGCCTCCTTGGGTTTAATCCCAGGTAGCCCGTCCAGTTGGAAAAAGGTAGGAGAGCTACTGTGAATCAAAGTACTGCTTATCTGGACAACAAATGGAAAAGGCTTCAGTCCCAGAGCAATTAGGTGCAACTTATTTAGGGGCAGGCCCAGCTTCTGTAGGTGGACTTTCAGATGTTGGGACCTGTGACCATATTGATTATTTACCTGAATTGCCTATTATGAGTGGAGTAGTTTTCACTCTCCTATTGTGCCAGTTGCACAAGGAATTTAGAGGGCCTCGAAGCCAATTCCAGATATTCTTTTTCTGATTGTCATCATCATCTCTTTCCTGTTTGACAGTCTTAAACAGTCGCTTCTTTCTTTCTGAGGTTTTCATGCCAGTGACTTTGAAGATGTTATTGCTCAGCTGGCTCATCCTGGAAGCAGAGATAGACTCGGGATTAAGATATTCATCAAGGTTTTTCAGGGTAGTAGTGACCAAGGACTGGATAGATTCCACAGGATCATTCCTCAGACTTCCAATAGCTGAAACCAGAAAGGAGGTCAACTCAGATTCTCAATCTCCAAGGATGCCATTTTTTTCCACCCCACATGCCAGGTTATTATTCTATAACTTCATTTAGAATAATTTTTGTCACCGTAAAATACTTCTTTTACTGTAGAAAAAATGTTTAAATAGAAATCATTTTTTTAAAGGAAAGAAAGAAAAATCACTCACCCCTCGCCCAGAGATAAGACTGTTAATATTTTCGTTCCTATCTTTGCAGTATATATTTTTTAAGTAATCTCTGTGCCCAACATGGGGCTCACACTTATGACCACGAGATCAAGAGTTGCACACTGTGCTGACTAAGCCAGCCAGTCACGCCAGTAGTATTTTTTTAAATACCGAATATGGACACTTCTTTTTACAAAAATATGATTTACATTTTTTTCTTCCCACAAAATATTCTGCTATACACCGTAATATCCAATCACATGATTCTATCATAATTTCTTTGATGAACTCTCTATTAGTGAATAATTAGGTCATTTGCAATTTTTCACTGTTATAAACAATAACTATTAATTCTTTCAACAGCTGTTACTGAGCGCTTACTATCCACTCAGGTGCTAGGGATACAGTGGTGAACAAGAAAGATTCCCCACCCTCAAGAACTTAACATTCTAGTGGAGGAAAGACAAAACAAACAAGCAAATGTAAATGAAGTATGAGGAAGGGAATTTAACAGAGTAATGGCAGTGAATACCTGGGAAGGAGCTCTTTAGATAGGCCAGTCAGGGAATGCCTCTCTGAGAAGGCAACATTTGAGCTGAGAAGGAAGAAGCTACATGAAGAGAAAGGGCAGAAGCACTCCCGAAGGTTGAAGGTTGGGATGGGGGCTTCTATTCACAATGTAGAAAGTAGCCAGTGTAGCTGCACCTTCTAGTTGGGGGGGATGGTGCTATAGGCTAAGGGTGGAGAGACAGTCAGAAACCAGATCAGTCAGGGCCTCGTGGCCAAAGGTAAGGGACCAGACTTCGACCTGAAGAACAATGGAAAGCCACTGAAGGGTTTTAAGCAAGGGGCGACATGATTCAATGTACATGTTTCAAAGAGAATCTGGCTTCTGTGTAGAGAAGAGACAGGGGTGGGGGTTGTTAAAATGGTCCAGTTAGGGAATGGCCTACAGGGGGGCTTAGATCCAGGTGGGAACAGAGGGATGGAGACTGGAAATTACTTAGCATGCAAAGAATAAAGAGAATAGGACAGGTGTTGGCTCAAAAGGGCCTTCAAGCCCATCAAAGTCTACTGCTTCATGTTGATCTCATTTGTACTTAGCACAGGCGGAAGAACTGGGCTCAAGCTACACAGTAAATACATAAATCCTGTGAAGAGCCATCTCGTGATCACAAGGTTTGTTAGGCACTAGATATGGGTGTAAATGTAACCGGAATTACTTTTGTTGGGGAAAAAGGTCCCTCCTGTCTGCATCATTTAGGCAGTCTTTCTGAGAGGCTCGCTGGGATGAGGAAGGCAGTTCTCTGGTATGCTGAGGAGTCTAGGGTATTCATTCTAGGTGTACCTTCCCTGACATGCTCCAGTCACTGGGAATAGGGCTCTACTACCCAGTAGAGACCTCAGTTGTAAAAAAAAATGAGAAGGCAATAGAGGTACAAAACATTAGGGTCAGAAGCCAGGGTTAGAGCCCTAATGGGACAGATGCTGCTACCTGGTCACTGGGGGGCAGAAGGCATGGCTACTCTTAACAGCAGCTAACAAACTCATTCTTCCCTGACCAGAACTCTGAGCACCCTCTCTGCCAGCTGCTTCTGGCACCCTGCCTGGCCTCGGTCCAGAAGACTAAGCCAACTCAACACAAAGGTTCTGTGGGACACGTCTGTGCCCAGCAAAGCACAGGTCTTTACATGCATCTGTATCTGATACTTAAACAATGTTTAAGATCAGCACTATTATCCTCACGATACTGATGAAGAAACTGAGGGACAGAGACAGTAACTCGCTCAAATTCACACGGCTCGTTATTGAGAGAGCCAGTATTTGAAACTGGGCTAGCCGACATTGGAGCCTGTGTTTTTCATTACACATTGACTTGGAAGAAAAGACCCTTAAAACTCATTTACCTCACCACTTTTTACTCTCTAGATAAAGAGTAGTGAATAAGCCAGAACGGAAACAAAAACTTGTCTTTCTGCAGTGCCTGCTAGGCATTTCCTCTGAAAGATGAGCCACCATCCCTTTCTTTCTTTCTTTCTTTCTTTCTTTCTTTCTTTCTTTATTTATTTTTTACATTTATTTATTTTTGAGAGACAGAAAGAGACAGAGTGCAAGCAGGGGAGGGGCAGAGAGAGAGGGAGACATAGAATCAGAAGCAGGCTCCAGGCTCTGAGCTGTCAGTACAGAGCCCGACACAGGGCTTGAACCCATGAACCGTGAGACCATGACCTGAGCTGAAATCAGACGCTTAACCGACTGAGCCACCCCGGCACCCCATAGCCACCATCCCTTTAAAAGCAGCATATCCAGAGTATTAGCTCGAAGCAGGTCCCAGGAAGGTAAGTGGGCTCCAACCAGAAGGCAGGTCCCTGAGGACAAGCATGTGCAGCACTAGAACAGTGACAACAGCAAAGCTGTGGTACTCGTGTCAGGCCGTTCTGACACGCACACCCACTCTTGTGTACACAAGGACCCACACACAGGGGCAGGGCTGTAAAAGCCAACATTCTCTCCATCTTGTCTCTGCATCAAAGGAAGCAAACTGTGGCATGGAAGAATTCAAGCATCATTTCCATTTGGCACTGGAATGAATCACACAGGCACCACTTAGCACAAGCACCCTGAATCCTTCCCACCCCACCCCCCACCTTGGAGGAGTTGAGAACTGTGTTTCCTGAAGTATCCCTACCACCCACAGCAAAGTCCTAAATCCTTACCATGGCCGAAAAGGCTGGCAGGATTCTGGCCCCACTGCTGTTCTCTGAGCTCATCTCCTGTTCTTCCTTTTGCTCATTCCACATGAACGCGCTGACTTCTTGTTCCTCCTTGAACATGCCAGGTGCTCTTCCCTCAGCTACTCAGATGGTTCACTCCCTCACTTCCTCCAGGTCTCCGCTCCAATGCCTCTTATCGGTGGGGGCACCCCTGCCCCGCCCTCTGACCCTTGGATCCCTGGTCCTGCCTCACCTTCTCCATAGTGCCTATCTAACACATATGTACTTGGTTAGGGCTCCTCCCCTACCCCACTGGAAGGAGTGCTGTAGCAGGGTGGGGACATCAGTTTTGTTCGCTGCAATTTCCCAGGGCTTAGAAGAATACCTGGTAGACAGCAGGTCTTTAATAATTAAGAAACTAATTTAATTGAGAGCAAGTGCAGAAGTACCTCCTATAGCAAACATAGGTATGGCTGTTTGGCTATTTTAGGGACCAAAGGATTTTGCAGGGGAGGTAAAATTTCTCTTCTGATATACGTTGGGAATCTCAGCTCTTCTTCCTCCACACCCCAACTCCTGTTCCCTCTTTTTCAGGACTTTGATGAAATTAAAGGACAATGGAGTGAGCATTCATTAGTGCAAAGGTCCCTGAATTTGGAGGTACCTGGGTGGCTCAGTCAGTTAAGCGTCTGACTTCGGCTCAGGTCATGATCTCACAGCTCACGGGATTGAGCCCTGCATGGAGCTCCATGCTGACAGTGTGAAGCCTGCTTCAGATTCTCTCTCACTCTCCTTCTCTCTCTACCCCTCCATTTCTCTCTCTCAAAATAAATAAATAAATAAACGTAAAAAAAAAAAAAGTTCCCTGAATTGGAAATTCTAGCTCTGGCTCTCCCAGTAATTCACTTCTATGATCGTGGACAAATGACTCAGCCTCTGAAATTAGGAGGGTTAGAGACTGGGACTAGGAAACACTTCTCTGAAGTACCCCTAACTTCAGAGGCAGAAGAGAATAAATGCATAGCCTCAAGGGTCTGGATGAATTACCTCAAATCTCATATACTCCACAAATCTTTAGAACCTCTTCATCTTAAAAATTCATGTATAATTTGCATTCTACTCCAAAACATGTCTATTATTAAAACAGTTGTTTAGTGTTTTAATTTTTAAAAGAGTCATTTAGAAATATATACTAAAATATATATAGATGAATAATATGAAGTCTGAGGTTTGGCTCAGAATAAGCTGGCAGGGAGGGGTGTAGGTAGAGAAACAGAGGAAACAAGGTAACCATGAGTTGATACTTGTTGAAGCTGGGGGACAGGGTTGGAGGGTTTATTATACTATTTGCTAGATTTTTTTTTAATGTTTAGCTATTTTTGAGAGAGCAGGTGGGGAAAGGGCAGAGAGAGAGAGGGGGACAGAGGATCAAAAGCCGGCTCCGTGCAGGGTTCAAACTCACAAACTGGGAGATTCTGACCTAAGCCAAAGTCAGATGCTTAACCAACAGAGCCACTCAGGTCCCCTATTTGCTATGCTAAAAACTAAAAGAAAAATCTTAAATTAGCTGGAGAAAAGGGATAGATTAACCTGCAAAGGAACAAAAATTAATGACAGCAGGCTCCTTTTAGCAGCAAAGAAAGCCAGAAGACAGTAGTATATCTTCAAAGTGCTGAGAAATAAACTGTTGGTCTCGAATTGTGTCACTATTAGGGGCACCTGGCTGGCTAAATCAGGGGAGTATGTGGCTCTTGATCTCCGGGTTGTGGGTTCTAGTTGCACATTGGATATAGAGATTACTTTTAAAAAATAAAATTGTTAATTAAAAAAAAAGAATTGTGCCACTAGTAAAGCTACCTTGCAAGAATGGTGATAAGAAAAAGTCATTACAAACAAGCAAAATCCAAGAGAGCATAACATCAAGATACTAGCACTAAAGAAACTTCTAAAAAGTGTACTTCAGGATGAAAAAAATGAAGGATGGTTAGAGATAGAGAAAGGAATGGAGAGCATATAACGCTGCAGTAAGCCCTCACTGTTTGTATAATGTAACAACAAGAATCATAGTATCTAAGTTCTGGGTTATAAAAAAAAGGAACTAAAATATTCAGTAACAAAAGCCTGTAAATTGGGAGGGGTGGTAATTGGAACTCATGTCAACACAGGAAGGAAGGTTAAAATGTTTTACTCTAAACCCTGTTAAGCTCAATATGCATGATAAAAGCCTACTCTCTGGTATCCAGCCCGGAGAAACACTTACACCTGTATACAAGGAGACATATGTGTATACACACACACACATACACACACACACACACACACACATATATATCTGTTGCAGAAAGTTATATATATATATATGTACATATGTATGTATGCATATATATAACATTGTATATCCTATAATATATTACAGTATATATTATATGTTACATAACATATATATTCTATGTGTACACAGCAAAAGCATAGAAGACTACATAACAAACAGGGGAAGAGGGTAGAGGAGCCAGACTTGAGGGTGAATAGAACTTTACCCCCCAAAAAAGAACTTTACCCTTATCAATAATGTTCCCTTTTTTTTTTTTTTTTGCTAACAGACTACATTCATGCATTTCTTCTGTAAGTAAAAATTAACTTTAAAATATTTTTACTGCAATAAAAAAGAGCACAAAACTGCAAGTTCTTTAGGGGACAGGGGGTGTCTCCCTTGAACACCACTGTAGCATCAGCAACTGACAGCACGTGATAAATTTTGAGGGACTGGAACATTTTGGTTAGCCTTGTTTTTCTCTAAGCAGCAACACAATGGATAACTTGTTTTCTTCCTCCTACTTCTCCCCATTTTCTCCTTGTCCATATAACATTTATAGCGGTAAAGACATACTTTATTTAAAGTAACAAAACATGTCCTTAAGGGATTCCCCTTTCTGTCTTGTCCCATGCCTTGTGGTACCCAGAACCCAGGTACAAGGCCCGGACTCACCATTCTGTAACAGCTCCACATCATCCTCATGAATTTGTTTCATGGTTAACCTCTTAATTGTTAATCCTAAGGATAGGACAGATGTAAAGTCCTTTCAGAATTCCAGACCTTTGGGCCACCCTTTCCCCCCCTCTAGCGAACAAGGAAGTGTGTAAACCAGTTCTAGCCAAGAAATGTTTCTCCAAGATTCCCTGTGGCCCACGTGTCAGTATTCTAGTGAAGCAATGCTCAGAGCAGCTGTGACCCAGGAAAATGTTGTTGGCAGATGACAAGTAGGGCATGAATCCAGGGTGTCAAACTCCATGGGGTTCCCACACCAATTGGAAAATGAACAAAGGGCATGAGGCAACTAACTAATCTGCAAAAATAAAATATGCATTGTCAGTAAACATGGGAAAAATGTTTAATCTCACTACTGGTAAAAAAAAAATATTAATCAGAACAACAGCAAGCTACTCTTTTCACCTATCAAATTGGTAATGAACGTTAAAGTACTACCCAGGGTTAGCAAATATCTGCAACATGGATACATACATGCAGTACTGGTAACAATGGGAAATGATTGCAACTTTTTAGACGGCAGTTTAAGCACCAAAATCCTTAAAATTGTGCCTACCCTTTGGGCCCAGCAATTCTACTTATTAAGAAATTTATCTTGGGGCGCCTGGACGGCTCAGTCCATTGAGCATCCAACTTCAGCTCAGATCATGATCTCACACTTCTTGGGTTTGAGCCCCGTGTCCTGCTCTGTGCTGACAGCTCAGAGCCTGAAGCCTGCTTCAAATTCTGTGTCTCCCTCTCTTTCTTCCTGCCCCTCACCTGCTTGTGCTTTCTCTCTCTCAAAAACAAACATTAAGAAAAAAAATTTTTTGAAGAAATTTATCTTAAAATAATCATGATGGCATGTAGAGATTTAAGCACTGTCTCTCTGCTTATAAAAACAAAAGATGACACAGTCTCAATATTCAAAAATAAGAACTGGTTAAATAGTTTCATAAATCTACCTGTAAAATGGAATTAATATTATGCAGTGATTTAAAAAAAAATGTTGAAGGGTATGTAATGGCATGTATTTGTGATAGGCAAGGGAAAAAACAGTATACCAAACTTCATGGTTTTTAAAATGGCTGTGTGTGTGTGTGTGTGTGTGTGTGTGTGTGTGTAGTATATTCTTAGGGGAAAATTCCAGAATGTTAGCAGTGGTTAAATCCAAATGGTAGAATTTCTGGCATTATTTATCTTCTTCTTTTTTGCCAATCTGAATTTTTTTAAGTTTTCTAACACAAACACACACTGTACTGCTATTATAATTTGAAACAAAAATATTTTTGAAAATTCATGGGGTTCCAGTGGAAGCAATAGTTGTTTCCTTTTCAAACATGTATGGTTCTTTTCCCCACAAAGCAGAGTGCAGTCAGTGTGAGTGGACCCACACAGAGTGGGGCAAAGGCACAGAGCCTTCTCTTCTTCCTCCAGCCTTTCTAACATGGATTTCTTTTCATGCTTATTTATTTATTTATTTTGAGAGAGAGAGAGAGCCGGTGAACTGTGGAGAGGAAGAGAGAGAGGGAGAGAGAGAATCCCAAGCAGGTTCTGTTCTGTCAGTACAGAGCCAACATGAGGCTCTATCTCACAAAGAGTGAGATCAGGGCCTGAGCCCAAATCAAGATTCGGATGCTCAACTGACTGAGCCACCCAGGTGCCCCTCTAACATGGACTTTGAGCCTGGGTCACAGGACAGCCTCTCTAATCAGGTCAGAGCTAGGAAAGGAAGTGACCTGTTTCACAGTACCATGGTTCGGGCTTAGCCCTTGTGGAAGGTCAAGGAGGGTTCCTTGCTGAAGACAAGAGGGAAAAGCTGCCAGGAGGAAGCATCTTACCTATGAAGTTGATGGCAGCTTCCCGTAGGAAGGACTGAGGGCTCGTCAGGAAGTCGAAGCTCTGGGACAGAAACTCCCCCACAAGCTGTATTTTTTTTGTGCCCGCCTGCGGAGCCAAAGAGGGGTGGTGCTGACCAGGAGCTGGGGGGGGGGGGGGGGGGCGCCTGGGAGCACCACTAGAGGTCCCCTCAACCCCCTCACTCTGTCCACAAGCAGCACTGTTCTGTCTTCAGTCAGCTGAAAGAGCTTCAATCTGGAGCCTCAGAGATCCCTACCCCAGTGACAGGGCAGACTTAGCAGGAAGTTCATAAAGAGGATTTTGCTGCTTCACACCAACATGATAAGGGGAAACACAACTGGTGTGGAGCCAGGAGACCCAGGGCTGAATACTGACTCTGACACTGGCTCCAGTTTTCTTTTCTTTTTTTTTTTTAATAGAATTTGTTGGCCAGTTGGCTAACGGCTAACGTACAGTATGTAGTGTGCTCTTGGTTTTGGGGGTAGATTCCCGTGATTCATCCCTTACATACAACACCCAGTGCTCATCCCAACAAGTGCCCTCCTCAATGCCCATCACCAACTTTCCCCTCTTCCCCACCCCCCCATCAACTCTCAGTTTGTCCTCTGTATTTAAGAGTCTCTTATGGTTTGCCTCCCTCCCTCTCTGTTTTAAACTATTTTTTCCCCTTCCCTTCCCCTATGGTCTTCTGTTAAGTTTCTCAAGTTCCACATATGAATGAAAACATATGGTATCTGTCTTTCTCTGACTAACTTATTTCACTTAGCATAATACCCTCCAGTTCCATCCATGTTGTTGCAAATGGCCCGATTTCATTCTTTCTCATTGCCAAGTAGTATTCCAT